TGCTGAACAGAATTCAATGCTCACCGACCAAAGGGGTTGTTCAACTTCCATCAGCGGAAATGAATCTTCCTGATGACCATTCCTTGACTTCTGCATTTTCAGAGCTGAGCTTTAAGGATGTAGTGCCTACGGTGGCCAGGGAAAACCCTCCTTTGGAAAAATCCTTGCAGAATTACACCCTGAAAAAACGAGATTCTAACATGGATTCATCGGTAATGGTTGTTCCCTCCTTCCGAACACCAAATAGCGTGCCTTATGGCTTCTATGGGGCTGAAATTACAAAAGTTCACAATGAAAGTGCAAACTTGTCACGATTCAATCCTCAAGAGCTCAAAAGACGCCACAGCATTGCCAACTGTCAGCCAATTGAAAGCTTTCCTGCTGCTGTTCCGCTAGATTATTCGATGCATGGTTTTCCATTCCTCTCTAATGTGACCATTCCTGGGATGCAGTTTCCAGCAATGTCTGATCACCAGCAACTCTTTACGGACACCCAAGCTCATATTTCATACCTAAATCCACATCAAACAAACCAACATCAAATAAGTTGGAGTAATATGGAAGAGGAACAGCGTTATGGTATACACCAATCGTATCTACATTTGCAGCAGTTTCCTAATCAACAGTTGGAAGATCATCATTTGTTGCTCGAAAATGGAAACATTGCAACGAGGTTACTAAAAAGGAATCCAAGGCAGACCCATTGCAAGGCACCGATCTCTCACCAATATGAACAATTTAAGCAAAAATCATTGTGGAATGGTTATGCCCTGCCTGGGGAATCAAATCAACTAAATCCCGCCTACTGTTCCATTGAATGCAATGATCAAAAGGCTTGGGAGAAAGTGGTGAAACAGAGTTACCACGACCAGATTTTAGCTAGATCACACGGATTGAACAAGATTGATGCTGCGAAGTTTGGCCATGTTGGGGCAAATGAATCATTTGCTCATGTCGTTCAAAATGGAAAGGTTCTCCGAAATGATAATTTCTTCCATAACTCATCTAATGCCGGCTGCTATCAGTTTGATAGTGAGAGATCGTGGGATACTTACCGTGATAAAAGAGACTTCAAAAGTGCTGATCTGAAGTATCTGCCTCTGAAATATAACTCTTTGAATGAGGTCACCGGTCGGATTTATCACATGGCTAAGGACCAACATGGTTGCCGGTTCTTACAAAGGAAATTTGTTGAAGGAACCCAAAAAGAGATTGAGATGATTTTTGAGGAAATTAGAGATCATATTGTTGAGCTAATGACAGATCCTTTTGGGAATTACCTTGTCCAAAAACTGCTTGAAGTGTGTAATGAGGATCAGAGGATGCAAATACTTGATTCAATCACTAGAGAACAGGGGGAACTCATTAGAATCTCGTGTGATATGCACGGGTTTGCTCTCTCTCTCTCTCTCTCTATATATATATATACAGATGCATGTGTATGGCTGCAATATTGCACTATCCTATTATTCTCGGAAAGCTAATATGAGGTTTTCTCCAACCACAGGACTCGAGCCATTCAAAAGGTTATTGAAACGCTTAACAGTACAGAGCAGTTTTCCATGGTTGTTTTCTCACTGGCGCATGATACAGTGGCGTTAATAAAAAACATGAACGGGAACCATGTAGCTCAGCGATGCTTGCAGCATTTGACGGATGAACATAGTCAAGTAGGGAATATTCATGTCTAAACTGGATAATAAAAGAAAATTGATTTTCCATATGAATGGTATTTTGGAAGTGGTTAAGGCATGTTCAGTGGAGCGAATAAGCTAATTTAATTTGTAGAGCTTGTAACTTCATAATACACTTGATTCGCAAGTTTGTAGAAACATTAAAGAGTAAAATAAAGGGTGTCTTAGTTGATGTAGAACTTTAAATGTTTTAATTTTTACTTGGTGTAATTTAATAATTGAGAGAAGCTTATAACATTAATTGATTTCTATTTGCAGTTCCTTTTTGACGCTGCGACTTCCCACTGTGTTGAGCTTGCAAAAGACCGCCATGGCTGTTGTGTACTTCAAAAATGCCTTACTTATTCTGATGGAGAGCGAAGACGCCGTTTAATCCATGAGATTGCATCAAATGCTCTAATCCTTTCCTATGATCAATATGGGTATTCATTGTTCCCTTTCTTTTTTTCTGCTTCTCATATTACATACAATTTATGTCACATGTCTCACATTGTTATCAAACATCATTTTTAGGCACTGCACTGGGATGAACTTTTTCTTATAGGTTTGTTGAAGGGAGTCAATGACATAGTTACTCATGTTGGTATAGCGGTTATGGAAAAGCATGTTTAGGAAATACAATGAATGTGGTTTCGTTAGCCAAAAAACAAATAAATAAATAAGTGGTTATTTATTATACAAAAACTCTTATAATTATTTTTTATTTCTGAACTCAGCTGGGTGCCCGAGAAAGCCTTTACTATATTTTCTGAAATAAAAATGTCTTCTTCCATCTGGCTTTGCATTTTTTTTTTTTTTCATAAAAGTGTCGCAAAAGGCATAGCCGATTCAACTGTGGTGAGTTTTCACAAATGCAAGTCGATTGCAATAATGATATGTTGGTTTTGACCCTTGAGGAGTCAGTGCAGCCTCTCTTTTAGTATCCACGTGATATATTTAAGTAACGAATTTAACTCAAGAAAGGGTCTAATGAGATTTTGACTTTTGAGTATAGTCTTTTGGTTACTCCATTTTATTGATAACGTTGAGCTTTGGGATCTAAGTTATGACTTTACAGGAACTATGTTGTGCAATTCGTGTTTGAGCTTGAGCTTCCATGGGCAACAACTGATGTTCTCGATCATTTGGATGGTAGCTATGGTGATCTTTCTGTTCAGAAGTATAGTAGTAATGTGGTCGAGAAAATCCTGAAATTTGCCGGTGAAGAAAATTGCACTCATGTTATTGAGAAGCTTGTAGAAAATGAGCGACTAGATCAAATCATGCAGGATCCTTTCGGCAATTATGTTATTCAAGTAGCACTGGAGCAGTCAAAGGTTAGTATAAGCATTACTTTGTGGCATCTCATTGTCCTAATATGCCTTTTCTTTGAAACAATTCATGATGGGCTTAGGGGAAAAAAAGAAAAAAGAAAAGAAAGAGAGAGAGAGAGAGTAGAGAGAAGGAGAAGAGAGGGTTAGGAATCTAGAGAGGAAATTATGAGTAATCAATATCAATAATCAGGGTCCGAAGTGAAAATACAAGTGCTCGTTCCATTGCTGGAAAATTAGAACATAATAAAATAAACCTAACTAAATATTTTGTTAAACCGAATAAGAAATAAAATAAATTCTAAACCCTATATTTCTTCCTAACACAAGTGTTTAATCCAGTAGTCTGATCTCTATCAACCGTACATTTTCAAATAAATCGTAAACAATTGTATGAGCTCTAGTGATTATTGTTTGAAGGGGTTTTTCAATCTTTTGTGTCTTTACAAGATGATGCTCTTAAAACTTTTGAATACAAGCAACTAGCTAGGTGATATTAAAATATTGAGTCCTAGATTGTTGTGAATTTCTCCTGTTTTGAAATGATCTCAAGTTCAAAATATGATTACTGAGCAGGGAACTCTTTTTGCTAAACTGATGGATGCCATAAAACTGCGTATCTCTGCGCTGCGTACCAGTCCATATGGGAAGAAAGTCCTCGCTAGCTATAATGCGAAGAAATAATTTATCGGTTTGACCTCATTAATCCTTTTATATACCTTTTCCAGATTCGGCAAAATACTCCTACCGTCTTTAGCTTTCTTTTCCTTCGGAAGACACCCAACTTATCTTGCTTTTCATTCTCCATAGGTTAAATGTTTTGACAGAATGCTGTAAAATCTGTAGTAAGAAGCTGAAGAAATGCTTTGAGTTTCAAGCCTTTTGAAGCATAGAAGTGGAAATCAGTAAGTTACGCCCGCCTTTTAGCGCTCGTTCAGAACAGGGGAAGTTGAACTTTTTGGTATCTACTATCTTTGCATTATCTATTGATTTAAGTTTTATTTGGACTACTTAAGAGCAAATATCTGATACGACGCGCCATTGCTGTGTCTGTAGATAGGTCCGCTGTTTTTCTTTCTTCTGCATAGTATAGTAATAAGAAAGAAAGAAAGAAAAAAAAAAAGAAAAGAGAGAGAGAGATGAGAGATTGAATTGCTTGAGCTTTTGGGAACATCAAATGATTTTTTTTTTTTTTTGACTAAATGAAGGTGCAGATGGTTTAGGTTGTGTTAGGATTGAGGAGAGGTCTGGACCTCTGTGGCTTTACACAACTGATGTTGATTTTAGCAGTGAATGTATATGTTATGTTTATCTATTTTCCTTGTCACTGATTTTTCCAAAGCTATATATAAGTTATATTTGTAGAGTTTGATTCATTGAACTTATCATCCTTCTCATGCTAAAAAAAAGAAAAAATAATCTTTGTACCGCATGGCTCCCAGATTTTGAATGATGATATTGCCAATCAAGAAGCTAGTCATTTCTGAATTTTCAATGCTTAGTTTGAGTTGTTTTAAAGAGATGTTTTTTTTTTTTTTTTTTTTTTTTTTGCCTTTTGTTTAAAAAAAAAAAATCTTCTACAAAATACTCTAATTAATAATTATCCGTACAAATTATCAGTAAATCTTCTACATGGAATTTATCAGTACAAATTATTCAGTTTGGCTTCGAAATTAAGGGCATTTACTTCACGGAAGGGAAAATGAGTAGCCATTCCATTTTCTAATTAATAATGTGTTAAATGAACAAAAAGCTCTAATGAGAGGGAAGAAAAAAATTCTCGACATTTTCTACAGAAGAAAAGAAGACATTTTAAATTGGGGTCTATTCTGTTTTACTCCTTTTTTTTATATTGAGGAAAGTTGGTTGTTACTGATAGTTTTCAACATTTCATTAGTTAGCTTAATCACTTACTACCATGAAATTAACCTTTTTCTACAAAAAGCTATTACATGAAGAGTTGAACCATTAATATGTTATAGCAAAAGGAGATAAAGGGAAAGTCATATGACTTGTGACACAAACTTTTCAAAAAAAAAAAAAAAAAGAATAAAGTATTAGTATGCGCTTGAGTAAAGTCAACGTCAACATAGTTGAAAGTGACGGACAATGCATGAAAGCAATATGTGCTTCAAAAAGTGTGGCAAAAATTCCAAAAGGAATAAGCTGAAACGAATCTTACACGTAAATTTCTTAAAGACGTGAAAATATTATTGTCTATATGAATACGACATCATGTTACAAACTCTTCCAACTCTTACCATCGGAAAAAGAAAAAAGAAAATCAGTAATTATCTAATAGCTATGTATTAGGGTCCAGAACATCTATAGCATCTTGTTCTCCTCTTCTTTCTCACTTTTGCTTGATTCTTGCATTTACTTTTCATTCCAACGTATGAAAAGGGTCGAAGTGGTTTGAGGTAAAAAGATGGAAGCTTCTCTGGTAGGACTAAAAAAATGAACTACCAATAATTTTCTACTTTTAGCCGTTAAATCTGTATCAGAAATTATTTATTATGCATATTTTTTTAATCTAATGTGATTTTGATAAGATCTAACGGTTATAAACTAATTAACACTATTGGTATGACTATCCTACTTGACGCATAATTTCTTATTAAGGGTAAATCAAAAGAAAACAATGTCATAGTAAAGATAATCTCCCTATTTTCTACTTTCTAATGGAATTTTAGTTAGGCTCAAAGTGATGATGTTGACGTTGAAAGAAGAGGGCCACTTCTATATTAGTATTCTGTATCACATTAATGTAACAAGTGAAGAAAATGGAAGGAGATTTTGTTAAGATGGATACCCAGAGCATTTATATTTTTATGTATCTATACCATTTATATTATGTAAAAAAGGGTTCACTTCATTTATATTGTTTATTTGTTTAACAACTTTCATGAGTTTGATTGTTAGTTTCACAAACAACCACAAATATTCCAAGACTATTAATACTAACCTCACATGTAAAATGACATATCTAAGGTGATAGTCTAAATATAAAGTCCTCAATAATATGAGTAAAACAAGGTTAGCTCTGTAGTTTTCTTATTTGACTGTATTTTACATGTAATTATCTAAAAACTATGTATTAGGGTCTAGAACATCTTTAGCATCTTGTTCTCCCCTTCTTTCTTACTTTTGCTTGATTCTTGCATTTACTTTTCATTCCAACTTATGAAAAGGGTCGAAGTGGGTTTGAGGTAAAAAGATGGAAGCTTCTTTGGTAGGACTAAAAAAAATGAATTATTAGTAGTTCTCTACTTTCAGCCGTTAAATTTGTATTAGAAGCTGTTTGTTCTGCTTACTTTTTCAATCTAATATGATTTTGATAAGATCCAACGGTTATAAACTAATTAACACTATTGGCAGGACTATCCTACTAGAGAAATTCCCTAAATATAAGATCCAACGGTTATAAATTAATTAAGACTATTGGTAGGACTATCCTACTAGAAAAATTCTCTAAATATAAGATTCAGCGGTTATAAACTAATTAATACTAACCTTAAATTACGCGCAACACTTGTAAAATGACATATCTAAGGTGTAGTCTAAATATAAAGTCCTCAAAAATACGAGTAAAACAAGGTTAGCTTTGTAGTTTTCTTATTTGACTGTATTTTACATGTAAAAGAACCACATTTGTACTCTTTGAAAAACACGGCAGAAAATGCAATTCTTCTCATTTCTTCTCAATTCTGCTGACTCAGTTCTTCAAGGCACAAAATTGACGTTCCAAATTCATATTCTTTGCCCTTAACAATAATGACAAAACACCCACTATTTTAACGTATACAAAATACCACACCTTTTTGTGTCTTGTTTCCTTCTTTTCTTTCTTCTTCAATTCTTGCATTTACTTTTCACCTTGTCGTATTGAAAAGGGTTGAATTGAAGAGGTTTGAGATATATTAAAACGCACCATAATCCCCTAATTAACGCATAATCATCCGACAATGGAAAATCATAAGAAAGTCATGCCAAATAAAGGAAGAAAGAAGCGTATGTATTTATATTTTCTAATGGAATAATTAGTCTCAAAAGTGGCGTGCTTGATGGTTATAAGGAGAGGGTAATAGGAATTACTCATTCTTAGGGGTGGGGTGGAGTCTGAAAAGTTTTTTAATTGGTCATAACATGAAAGATATAAAATCTTTTTTATTAAATAAAATATTACTATTAAGTTTTTAATTATCAAATTAATATGAAGCAGGTTATGATAAATGGGTTACAATTGAAATTTTTATAGTTAGTACCGGTTTAAGTCTTTATACTAAGTTCGTTGTTAAATGTGTTGCAATAAATATGAGATGGGGGTGAAATAGTAAAAAGACACAGGAGATTCGTATCGCGGTTCGATAACAACCTACTCTGCGGGACTACGCCCAAACATATGAATAATTCACTAAGTAAACTGTATTACAACTCAAATGGACTTAAACACTCTGAGACTCCCTCTCTAAATATGACGCCTATGACTTGTAACTACTCAATGAACTTGCTCAGCGAGCTCTCCTCGACTCAACGTTAAAATCCCTTCAGCACTTAGTTTTCTCCCGAAAACCTTAATCCCCTCTATCGAAGAGACTTAGAAAAATAAACACTCACAAAATGATATGACTTACTGAAATTTTGAGACTCAAAAGGCGTGTTAAGACCATTATAAGACTTTATTTAAATAGTTAAATCGACCAACTGTCCAAAACTTCAATGTAATCTGCTGCACTCTGTCAGTTGCAGATTTTGTTGCAACAAATCTTGCAATAGAGCTGTAAAATCTAGTTTAAAGCCGACTTCTGCAGATTCTTAATATCCTCTATATAAATGCATAATGATCCTTGCAGAGTACTCTATGAACCTGAACGTGTTCCTTAGTAGTAAGAGAGATTCATGCAGCCAGCTGAATCTCAACCAAATATCAATCATTTCATCAATTTCAACTTGTCAAAAACATCTGAAATTAACTTTCACCGAATCAAATCAATTTGATTGATTCCAAACAGTTTCCATATAAACTAAACTTTCCAAAATGTTTTTTTAACAGCTTTCAATCTATTCTGCAATCATATCATCATCAAATCAATGCCCAAAATAATGTTAAAAATAAAAAACCAATCAAATCTGAAACTTTCCAAAAAAGATTCATGCGGCAAATCAATCTCCAAATCAATTTATATCAAATCCAAAACCAATTCTTTCAATTTGCAGAATAATGCCAATCTAAAAATCCCAACATTTATGAAGTTTCACAAATATAAATTAAAATAGTAAACTCTTAGTGGGGCTGAGCTATGTATAGCCAAGGAAATGGAAGGATATATAGCACAGTTTTTTGAGTACATAGCTAGTAGCTTTTAGCTTTTGACAAACAATTTTAAATTTAAAGTTTGGTTAAAAAGAGAGAAAAAGAAGTCAAAAAAAACTTTGTATTACTCTTGACTCTATCTTATATTCAACAAGACAAAAAATGGTGCCTTCCCATCGCCATCGTTTTCTTCCACAAAAGTTTTCAAACTTATTCCACTACACATTGACTAATAATAGTGCATGACTAACAGTGCAAACTATACTTAAGAAACTGAAGTCCCTACTTTTAGAGAGCTTTAAATAGAGCCATTTGTACATTGAACTTGGTAAAAACAATTAAACCACAAAAATGGCCAAACTAAGCCTCCTACTTGTACTTCTTCTCATCTTCTTCGCCTCTTCTTCATGTACTTGTCCACATGACCAAATGAATGCCCTTTTTCAATTCAAATCCTCCCTTACCAAGAGTATAAATACTCATTCAAATGAGTCATCAGTGTTTGGTATGGATTCATGGAAGCCTGGTTCAGATTGTTGCCTTTGGGACCGAGTCGCGTGTAGTTCATCCAGCACGAAAAAATCAAGGGTTGTGATTGCTCTGTATCTTGATTCAATTGTGTACATAGACCCCGAAAGTCCCATGGTTTTGCCTACTAGTGTCTTGATGCCAATCTTTGGCATTAGAACCTTGATGCTACTTGACATATCTTCCAACCATATAGAAGGTGAAATCCCGGGGACTGCGTTGGCTAATCTCGGCAAATTGGTCCATCTTGACGTGAAGGTAAACAAATTCCACGGCTTCATTCCGCAACAAATTTTCCATCTCAAATATTTGCAGTACCTTGACATGAGTGAAAATTTGCTGAATGGTAATCTCAGCCATGAAGTGGGCTCTCTTAAACACATGAGGACACTGAAGTTGGATCAGAATCTTCTCCAAGGAAGTATTCCTGAGGAGATCGGAAACCTCAAGAAGTTAGAGGAATTGTCCCTTCGCAGCAACGAGTTTGAGGGTGGGATTCCGTCTTCGATCTTATCCTTGAAGGCGTTAAAAGTGTTGGATTTAAGGGATAACCTATTGTCAATGGAGATTCCTTCCACTATTGACAAGTTATCCAACTTGACCACCTTGGCCTTGGGTGGCAATAGGCTAACCGGTGGAATCCCATCATCGATGCAAAAACTCAAAAATTTGGATACTCTTTCCTTGGAGAAAAACTTACTAGATGGAGAGATTCCTAAGTGGTTGTTCAACATGAAGAGCCTGAAGAATTTGTTGCTTGGAAGGAACAACTTGACTTGGAATGGCTATGTGAAGACTATGGCGCCAATGTTTAATCTGTCTAAATTGTCTTTGAGCTCTTGTGGACTTAAAGGGGAAATTCCAAGCTGGATTTCCTCACAAAAGGGACTCAATTTTCTTGACTTGAGTGAGAACCAGCTTGGAGGTACATTTCCACAATGGCTGGCTGAAATGGATGTTGGCAGCATAATTCTCTCAGACAACAAGCTAAGTGGCTCTCTTCCGCCTCGCCTTTTTTACTCTATAAGCTTATCGGTTCTTGCCTTGTCCCGCAACAACTTTTCTGGAGAGCTACCGGAAAATATTGGGGAGGCCAACGGGATAATGATCCTTATGCTGGCTTCAAATCAATTTTCAGGAGAGATCCCAAGGTCCATCTCAGATATTTATCGCCTTCTTCTATTGGACTTGTCGATGAATAGATTTTCCGGCACAAGTTTCCCTTCTTTTGATGGTGCATTTCTTGCTTATGTCGATCTTTCATCAAATGAATTCTCTGGTGAGATTCCCACGACCTTTTCTCAAGAAACTCGGATTCTTGCATTAGGAAATAACAAGTTCTCAGGCGACTTTCCTATGAACTTGACTAAATTTAGCATGCTCGAGCATCTAGATCTCCAAGACAACAATATCACAGGTGAGATTCCAACTTTCCTCTCCCAAATCTCTACCCTTGAAGTTCTGGTCTTGAGGAACAACTCTATACAAGGTTCGATCCCCGAGAGTATATTCAACCTCAGTAGGCTCCGAATTTTTGATGTCTCAAACAACAAAATGACTGGAAAAATCTCCAGTAAGTTTGGAAATCTTGATGGAATGATCAAAACCCCAAACACAATTTCTTCACTTCCCATCATTTTCACCTTCTCAATCGAGTTCAACGACTTGATAGTCACTTGGAAAAAATCGAAACAAGGCCTCTCAAGCCGCAGCCTTAGTATCTACTCTTTCCTAGACTTGTCAAGGAATCAACTTTCTGGCAAAATTCCTGCCTCGCTAGGCAAGCTAAAGGGTCTAAAGCTCCTCAACATTTCACACAACAACCTCTCTGGCAACATACCATCAAGTTTTGGCGATTTGGAGAGCGTAGAGAGCTTGGACTTGTCACACAACAAGCTATCTGGTTTGATTCCACCAACACTATCAAAGCTGACAGAGTTATCTACATTGGATGTGAGTAACAACATGCTCTCGGGGAAGATTCCTGTTGGTGGCCAAATGGACACAATGGCTGATTCAGCCACCTATGCCAACAACAGCGGATTGTGCGGGATGCAAATTCGTGTCCAGTGTGCAGATGAAGGGCCGCCAGCGGGAGCAGGAGGAGGGTTCCCCGGAGAAGAACAAGAAGAGGCTGAAGATGAGAAATGGTTCTCGTGGGAAGGTGCTGGGATAGGATACTCAGTTGGGCTCCTCTCAACAGTAGTTATCATGTACTTATTTGATTATTTTGCTCCAGTTTTAGTGCAAGTTAGGAGTACACGGAGAAGGAGAAGAGCTTAGATTGAGACGTCTAATTTCCTTTGCGATAAAAAGTTTAAACTGTTGACCATTTTAAGGCCTTTTATTCTGTTGAGTAACTACAATACTGAATCAATAATGTACTGTGTAAGAATAGACTGTAATTTAGTTTTGAAAAGATAAAATACAGATAATAAAAACTAGTTTCTTTTAGTGTAGTGAACTTAAAAGTTTATAGAATGTCAAAAGACAGAAGAGAAGTCCAATTACATATAAATTAATCTAATACACGTAGTTGCATACGTGTATGTTAATTTGCACATGTAAACTAGTTTCTTCCAAGCTGAAAACATTCTATAATCTAAACTTTAATTCACGAAAGGTATGAACTTGCAATGAGTAATATGCATGATACTTTTTTTTAAGTAAAATGGATTATGTTATTTGCAGGTTTGTGTTTGAAATAAATCACACTTAAAGAATAATGTCACTTGTTTCATCACATTTCTTTTTCTTGAAGAATCAAAAATAGAAAGGAAAAGAGAGAAACCCCACTTTTATATTCCATGATCCTCAAATTCTTTACAAATCCTTAATATTTAGCCCCTCAAATTCCAGTATTGAGTTCTAATGATGCCTCTTTGACATCAGAGAGCTGAGAAAGTTGCAGAAGTTCCAAAAAAGTTATTGGCAATTTTCATAACTAAAGATTTTCCATGAAAATAAGATCTAGACTATCCTTTCTTGTCATTGATGTAGTTCCTTTAGAAATTTTGCAGAAATGAAACTGACTGATAGGTGTCATAAAATAACACACATGCAACCTCTATTGTCCTCAGCCTCATTGTCAGTATCTTCTATTTCACTGTTGGAAAAATATACAAACGAATAAACTAATTAGATTAGAACTTGTAAAGTACAAACAATATATAATCAGTCATTTGCATAGAAGTTTATTCAATAGCTTCGTCAAAACTTTTCCCCACCATCCGTAGAATTTTAATAAAACAATTTCCACCCAGAACTCTTCATATGTTTAACATGTGCTCACCAAAGTACGACCAACTCAACAGACGCGGATGTAAATTATATCCATACCTACTGATACAACTATATGACAAACTCAATCTTTCTCATCCCAACAAAAACAACAAAGCAACAGAAAGAAGGGTAAGAAGCCATACGACTGCACTGCTTAACAAATATCTGATTCGCTACCGAAGGCGGGATTAAGAAAATCAGGGAAGATGAGACCATGGAATACTCCTTGCAACAAAGGGAAAGTAGTAGACTTCCAATGAAGATTTGGTGTTTTAATGACTTCTCCTAAGTAAGAATGGGGCTTCTTGCTATCAAGTGGAATGATCACCAAATTGGGTTTTCAAATCCTAAGTTTGACTTTAGAGAACATAAAAGAAAAATACTTTTGTGATAGGGAAAGCCCTAGAAAATATTATACTCTCACAGACTAATTTCTCATATGTAAAGTTTACTGTACTTGTCAGTTTTTCTCTATCACTTGAGATCACTATTATTTTTAATTTCATATACACCATTGTTCTTTGAAAATTTCTATACACAAGTTGTTTTTGAACCTTTTCTCAAATAAGTCAAATTACTTTGTAAAACTGCCAACAAGACCTCATAAAATGGAAATTCTCATTGTCTCACTTTGTTGACTAACTTGTGAACTCATTGCTGAAGCTACTTACACACAAACTATTATAGAATGAAGAGTTCCTCAACCTTCCCCACTAATCTAAATCAGTTTACTTTTATATATTATAAACACCGTTTGAAAATCCCATAACAATCCGAAAATTCAAACTTGTAAACTCTTGAAATTAGTAGTTAACACTTAACTCAGCATGTCTAGCTTTGTACACTGGTCGTCTCCTGATGATATCATTGTTAAATTATTTATTTTATTTTCTTAGGAGCCAATAATTTAAAATTCCGTTGTTTGACAATCTTTCAACTGATCCATATCAGATTAATGCTAAAAAAGATAAATAATCATCTGGTCCTAGACCAATCAGAAACAGAAAGTGTTGTAACGATGGTAACAACACACTCAAAGTCGGAGACTATTTGTTCAGTTTTTTTCTAATGGAACTTTTTGTATCAGTTATGTTCATAGCCTATTAGTTCTTAGCTGAAATAAAATGATAATTATAATAAACATTTTTGTTTCCATTTTATTAATAGAATGACATATGGTAGCTTATGAGTTTCAAGCAGATGCTTGGTATTAAGATTTCAACTATTTAAGGACACGTGCTCAATTCTTTTTTTCTTTTCCTTCTCAGATCTAGCAAAATATGTTTCCTGCTCAAGTACAGATTTTCTGCTGAAAGCAAGAAAATAACTAATCCTTGTAGTTTTATTGACCCCATGTTTAATATATGCACCAAAGACTAAATATATATAGATATATATATATATATATATTTTTTTTTTTCACAAACATAATAATGTAACATCAACCTCATTGTTCAATAATTAATTTCAGAAGCTAATGAATATGCCATTAATTAAGCAATAAAAAATTAATTTAAAAAAAAAAAAAAAAGAAGTAGGGAGAAAGAGAAATGCTCACCTGGATTCAAATTCTCTGATCTCAACGAGTTCTTTGCCTAAAAGGTCCGTCCACTGCACTCTCTTCTTCGGCTTCTCTGCCGGATTGGCGGAGTCCGAATTCGGCTTCCTGAGATTACTTTTGAGGCAATTCTCATCGAATTGTTCTTGTTTCCCATCCAAGATCTCTTCTTCCTCCTCCTTAATTACCTTGCTATCACCAGGCAATTGATTATCACTATCAGAGTTATGATCAGGAACTGTGACAGGTTTTTTAGGGACATTTGGGGAGTTCTCCAATTTCAATGGTCCAGGAGTGTAAATATGAGGAGATGGCTTGCAAAAGCAAATGAAGGAAGGACAATGAATCTTGCGCAACAAAAAACTCATCAAAAACTTGTCCAAGCAATCACTTAACATCACTTCAATTAGCCCATCTTTTTTTTTTTCTTCTTTTACAACTTCAGACCAAAAAAATATATATAAAATAATAAAACTTTAATGTAAATAATTTTCTTCTTTATGTTTGATAGTTGTCAAATTTGAAGTGCCAAGGAAAGAGCTTCAAAAGCAGAATTCTATTAGATGGTGAGATTGTTGCCAAGTTGGCACTTTTCATCTGAAGGACACAAACTTAAATGAGTAAAGATTAAGGACCCAGATATCCAAAAACACTCAAAAATAAATAATTAAATAATTAAAACTAAATGATGAAATTATATACGCGGCTAGTTTTTAGTTTGGACATTTTTTGAGTGGGAAAGTTGAGACATTTCAGGAATATTAGATGAGACCCAGAAAGAAAGTTGAGATTTTGAAGCTTTTTGATTGTCAATCTAAGATTGAAAAGAAATGGGTACCTCTAAAACAAGCCTAAAACTCTCCAGAAAACCTCTGTTTTTCCCCTGCTTTGTACGAAAGAAAAGACAACCTTTGTAATCTACCACTACCAGAGAAATAAAAAACAGAACAATTTGTCTATGGAACCTGAAATGACAATCATGCCCTCTTCACCTCCATTGAAACTGTTGGAAGGAGGAAGATAGTTTAGGTGAAGAATTGACAAAGAACTAAAAGGTGGGGGCAAATAATACTTTGCTGGAAAGCCAACCAACAGAGAGAGAGAAAAAGAGGGAGAGAGAGAGAGAGAAACCAATTTGGAAAATCTGGAAGACAGACCCAACTGTCGCAACATCTAAGAATTAGTACGAGAATTTGTATTATGATTATAATATTTTTTTTTTTAAAAATACATATAAATTAAAAATAATTCTGAATTATAATTATAAATTTATAAACGAAACGTGCATTAAAAAGCTAACTGGTACTTCCTCCAAAATGGAATTCTCTTTAGATTCCCCAATAAAAACATGGGAAAATTTTATGATACGTTACCAAACATTACCTTGCCAACAAGGTAAGTTTACAATCAATTTTTTATGCCCCTTGCCCAGTTTGTCTATTTTTTAACTTTGATATGAATTCTGTTGGGTTGATTTCACTTTTGACATCCGAACTCCATAACATCATATAAGTTTCAAAACTATGTTTATTGTCCCAAATTAGGCTCTTTAATCACGAAAATTATCAAAAAATTATACGAAATTGATTAAGGAATTATTCTTTTTGAGTGTAATTTGAGTGTAGTTTTTGAGTTAAAGTTATAACTTGAGTTAAAGTTGTAACTTGAATAAAGTTAAATAAAGTTAAAACTTAAAAAAACGTAAATTTAAATAAAGTTAAAACTCGAGTTGTCTTTTTTTAAATTTTTTAGATAAAAGAACATGCCCTAGGTATACGAGTCTCACATGGTTAATTGTGTCCATGGCCTCGTTTACGACCATGATTGCGCTTATTATTTTTAAATGATGCAGCATTCACTTAGATGAACAGCCAAATCTTTCACAACAATGTAGATATAGAAGATTTTTTTTATTATTAAATTAGATGAACAGCCACATATTTGAACGTTTTATTTATATTTAAAATTGTTGAGTGTTTAGGTGAGAATATACGCTGTTATGAAGAGCGTTCTCGAGAAAACAAAAAAACAAAAATTCTCATGAGCATCATGCAAGTTTTTAAATTTTTTTTTTCAACGGATCAAAGAGCTTTAAACGATGGGATTACACAAATTAAGTTCTTAAATTGAGACTTAATTCTAAATTTATTGATATTTTATACAGAATTTCTCTAATAAAATTAAAAAAAATAAATTATCAGTAATTTTTTATTTTTTTAGTCATTAAATTTATATTAAAAATTATATATTATACATATTTTTTTATCTGATGTGATTATAATCAGATTTAAAAATTAAAAACTCACA